ACCTGGCCTCCATCCAGGGTCAACCCACCGCAGCTAGGTGTGCAGGTCTCGTTAAAACTGGTAGGAGATTTGCCACTGGTTTGAATTGGGGATAGGTTTTCAACCTGGACTTCATTCCTTGGCAGCCCAACTTAAACTCTAGTCCATGTACTGGTTATATTTTCCCTTTATTATGTAATGGAGAAGTCGTATCCTCTTTCCTCATAGAAATAACATGAGAGATATTGCGCTGTTTGTTGTGTTGTAAATGTTTGATCACAGGAGCCATAGATGAGCTAAGTATATTTAGCTATTATTCTATCACATCAATATAGAAAATCTTCTATCCTTTCCAATCATCCATCTAAATGTGATCCCTTTTTATTATATACTGATTTTTAACTGCTATCTCTGGAAAATGTTGGTAGATTTCTTTCTGTATGTTCAATTAGATTTCAAACAGTATTGTAAATACCAAAGCTACTTCTCTCTTTGCTTTTCCCTCAAAAACCAAATGGCAAAAAAAAATCAAAAAGAAAAATGGCAAAAGCAGTTTTAATTTAGACCCATTTTCATGCTTCCTATGGATTAGTACTGAAAAAAGCAGGAATAATTAGAGTGAAATTACAGGGAAGTAAAACCCTAAATGAGTTAGAGGGAAGAGGTTGCTGCATATTCCCTTCTTAAATGCACAGAAACATGTCATGTTACATTTCCATATATTTTCAACAAAGCAAGAGTCTGGGAGGAGCATGAACGTGTTAATCTACATTTTAATAATAGATTTTATTATTGGATTTTGTTCCAAATATTTACAACACAGTAATTACATTCATTATTTTCAAAATGAGCCAACAGGACTGACTGCTCTGTAGATTCTAAAAATTACTGAATTTGAATATTAATACACTTAAATTTCAGAAGCATTGTGAAATCAAAAGGAAATTTGTTATTCAAGTTTACAATGACATATACGCAGCAGAATTTAGACAGACTAGCTTAACACTTGACTGAAATCCATAATTAAGACTTTGTTTTGTAAATAATACTAATTTCATTTGTATTTAAGGTACTGCTGATTATACACACTAACTGCATGTTTCCTGCTAACATGTCATTTGTCAGTTATGAACAGATTGAGAGGAATGCAGTTTTGTCACACAACGGAGAGAGCTAGCACATTTTCTTATATGACTTTACTTACCTGCACAGGCATCTGTGAAACTGCAGTGCAAGAAGCAGTACTGCTTTCTGCTTACTGCTGAAATAAGGGCAAAAATAATGATCCACTGGCAGGCTGCTCCCCACAGTACTACCTCTACAGAAAGAAGCAGGGATTTTTTGGTGCTATTTGATCACAAGAAATGTTCATAATCATCTCCTTTTTATTCCATTTGTAAAATGAATATGTTTTAAGAAATGTTTCTGAAGTAAAGGAGAAATTTTTTCCCCCTGCCAAGATAATTCCTCTGTCCAGCTGATGACTACAGTCCAGTGGTGATATGATAGTTACAGGTACCTAATCATAAAGCGTTTGGTGTCCACAATATGTAATATTTACATAGCAGGTATTTGGGATGAAAAATTCCAGCTGAATGAAAAATCATACTATGTTAAATGATAAAGTAATATTAAAATTAAAAGGTTACTTTTTCTATAAACATGTTTCTTTTCAAAAAGAGAAGCTGCCAGTTCATATGTTGTTTCTCACTTTTTATTTTTGTTTTAAAATCATTTATTTTGTATACCATTGTAGTCTGCAAGCAAAGAAATATCCCTAGACTGATATATACCAGTACAGTGAATGTGGTATTTGGAGGGAATCCTATTGAAGAAGGAGATGAAGAAACTGTGCCATATTTTCCACTGGAAAAGGTACATTGTTCATGTAATGGCATGGTATTTACTGTGCTCTAAAGGATAGGTTATGTGAAGGCTGTTCTGAGGGCAGAAGCTGTTTTGATATAGATCACATCAAATTCTGTGAAATTATTTTTCATTAATAAAAATTGAGCCATGATCAATGAAAAAATAAATCATAGAGGCTTTAATCTGCTATAAATAGACAGATTTGAGATGATAAAATATCTAAAAATGACTAAGAAAAATGGAATGTGACATTTAACAAGAATATTTTAAGAGGAAGGGCTTTCAGGGGACCATTCGCTAGGTAAATACTAACTATTATGGCCCCTGTGAGCCTTTGCATTGAAGAATATTGATTAATATCAAATTCTACATCTTTATCACACACGTTTTTGCTTCTTTGAAGTTCCCAAACCTTGCTTTCTTGCTGCAGGCCAGGTGGTAGTTACAATCACCTCAGCACTGCTCTGAAATACCATCTCCTTCTTTGCTGTGATCATTTAGGAAGCACTTTCTAGCTGAAATCTGAATCTCAATGCATTCTGGCCACTCTTCCCATTTTTTTTTCTTTCCTGCTCCCAGCACACTGCCTGCAGTTAAAAGCTATAATTTTAGAACGTACATCCAATGTCCAGGAATCCTAAATAGGACGAACTACTACTCTGTTAGTGCCTTCTGAGATACTTAGTTGTATATGTCAGTTTGTGCACAGCCTGCACAGCACCTCAGACTTCTGAGAATGCATTTCAGGAATTTGCAATTAGTTGTGTCTGAGTCCTAATCATATGTTTTCTCTAATGGCGATCATGTAATAGCTGGCAGCAGAGGTAAGTGGGGCATGGAGGGTGGTGCAGCAGGTGGATTAAGACACCTGAGAGTAGAAAAATTTTCCACAGTGGGATTTTAGGTATTTTTTTTCAATATAAAGTATGGCAATACAAAATTCAACAGGTAAATAAATAACCTCATGTAGATAAGTTAATCACTAAACCAGCATGTGCTAACTGTGTCCAGAATCTTACTGTTTAAATATACTTGGGTGCAATTTTTAAAGTTAATAGTAAAAGATAGAGCTGGGACAGAATTATTTATAACTTCCCAAATACATTCATTAAGAAATTGAAACATTTTTAGGCAAGTCTGAATTTTTAATTTCTTATTTAACTTACTGTTTTAAAAAACTTTTTCCAATTCAAAATTTATGTTTTTTCAAAATAAAATTAGCTGACCCACCAGAACATTTGGCTTAATACTAACTTTTTCAGTACATCCAGGACAAAAAGTGAGTTAAGTAAATACTAGTGGACTTAAATTCATTCTGAAGCTAAACTTGTGCAACTTAAAATGTAAGTCTGGTAAGTTTCTTTGTCATAAACAAAGTATATATTTGCTATATCTTGTTATTTCTAGTTTGGTTTTACTCAGCTGATGTCTACAAGCTGGCTAGATTTAAATGTTATCAGAGATAAACCATAAGTTTGCCTTTACACATGCAATAATGTGATTGAAATGTTGATCATATTCTGCCTTTCTTTATAGCAATTTAATCATTATTCTAGAACAAAGGCAATTGCAGACCAAATGATTCTTGCTGTGAATGGAACTTTACTCAAAGGTACATATAAAACACTTGGGGTTTTCCTATCATCAGTAGTGCTAATGGGTATTCCATTCTCTGGTTATTCATTTATTAATAAATAGTATACTTTAACTGAAATAAGGATTTCATTTGTTTGTTTCTACTCCTCCCTTCAGTGGATGATTAATTTTTTTATGTGTATACACAGACAGATATGAGATTATATGCAAACAATAAATGAGAACATATAGAAAATTTAACCTTAGTTCTTCAGATCATCTTAAAAGTTTACCAGTGTTACAATAGATACAGGATTTGTGCTTTTATTCCTCATTCAGTCTGTCACTTCAAGGTTCTCTGATAATACTAATCTCCATGCACTGTCCAATAGGTCATTCTCATAATCCCCAAAGGTTTGCAGGTGTCTGGCAAGAATAATTGCAGTTTCTTAAACAGATTGGCAATATCAGGGTCATGTTGACTTCTAAAGTCACACATGCATGAATAGCTGTGGCTAAAAATCTATCTGTACGTGGCAAGGGAAATATTTCTTTTTGCTTTTTACATGCATATTTTGCTATTCCTACTGATTTCTCTCAACTGAAAAGTTGACAAACATAAATTAGGTGGGGATTCAATTTCAGCATCCTTGATCAACTACTGGGCAAATGCCTTGCCCACATAAAAGGTGTAATTGTCCCTGTTCTCAGTAGTCAGAGGAGTCTACTTACTGATTCACATGTAAAGCTTAAAGTATTCATTTTGATTTAAAATATTCTAATTTGAAAGCCTCTGTTTGAGACCTTTTCCATTCCTTTTTGATGCCATTGAGCTGCAAGCAAGCAAGGTGTCTAAATATAGCAAATTGAATGATCTTCTTCCAGTATTGCATGTGTCTACAAATAAGCACGTTATAAACTTATATCTATAATAAATAGCAAAAGTTAATCAAGCAGGAGGCATACCTACAGGAAAGTTTGATTTATCCTGTCCCTATTCAAACTCTTCTGTGGTCAGAGAGATTCAGTTTTTCAGGCTGCTAAGCTAGGGTCGTTCACTACTACTGAATTCAATTTTATACAGAAATGAAAACAAGTTACTGGGAAGCAGACTCACATAGAGTGGTCAGACTGATCCTTTACTTTCACAATATAAAATTCAGACAATATATGTCAGCCACATGTTGATATCAAAGCTATCTGAAAAATCATATTTTGTTCTCTCTCCAAGGAGGGGATAAGCTCCATACTTGTGTGCTTCGTCCACCAGGCATATATGGACCAGAAGAGCAGCACCACCTGCCACGAGTAGCCGTATGTGTTATGTAGTCGGCCCTGGAGGACACTACAAGTAGTTGTAAGGGCATAACACAAGTGGAAATATCTTCGTTACAGTTCTTAACAATTCCTCCAGGAAAACTGTTGTGAAAGCCTGGTGACAGGTCATATGATGCAAGATAACTGATAGCATGAGAGGAGCATTGCAGAAATGGCAAGGATCAAGCTGTACTTTTAAGTGAAAATTTAAAAATGCAAGGCTGAAATGCTATGGTAGAAAAACTAAGTTTGCATCCCTGATCATTAATGGAAATACTGTCTTTTAAATATGCACTTTCGTTTCAGCCAAACACTATCATGTCACCATATTTTCCACTGCATATCAGTGCGATGGTCTTTGATTTATAAAACTATCAACTGGTTGTTGATTTTTTTCTTGTGACACATTGCTTGTGCTGTAATTGGACACAAATGCAGCAAATTCTAAGTATTCAGGTTGAACCAAAATGAATACATTATACTGCATAATAAAGGAATAATGTAGTTATTTCATGTTTTCTGTTTCTACAGGTAAATATCCAGCGGAGACTATTTAACTTCAAGTTTGGGAATCACAAAGTTCAGATGAACTGGGTTCATATAGGAAATTTAGTACAAGCTCACTTACTAGCTGCTGAGGCTCTCACCTCTGAGAAGGGTTATGTAGCTGTAAGTAAATGATATAAACATTGTGTCCCAGTAGCTTTAGCTCTCAAATAGGTTTAATTTTTGATGTTTTGAGATCAAAGATTATCCAAAAGGTTATGTGCTAAATTCTCAAAAATGGTGTGTGGCTCCACAACCACATGGACAGTGCAAATGCAAAAACACTCTGCTAATATTTTTATGCTGATTTTTTTTCTGTTTTGAAAATATATAATTTCCTGTTTGATTGGAGGAAATAGTATTCTTAACTAGGTTAATATATTCACCATCTACATATTCTGTTATTCTTTTGAAAACAGATTCTTATTTTAGATGCATAAAATTTAGAGCAATCATGCTGAGGCATTCCAGTTTAATTTTCAGGGCTGAAAATTCCAAAAAGAGATGTACAAAATTAATGGACAACTTTAACAGGTTTTTCTTCTACTGGTCCTAATTGCAACAACAATCTGAGGACTGTGAAACATTACAGAACTGACAGTGCTCCAGCAACTGCCACATTCAAAGCTCCTGAAGGCTCCAGCTTCATTTATATTTGTAGGAACATGTAGACAACAGGTACAGATAAGTCTGAATATCTCTCCATGTGCTGTTAACTAGTTTAGTCCTTGGAAGTTATGCAGCTGTTTTAGCATGACATAATGCTCGAACTCCCAGGGTCTGCTTGGGTGCTCAGGTGTTCGTAATGCTCACAGTTGGATAGACTTCTGATCCAGAGCATAGCTCTCAAGGCGGTATTGCCTGCACATTTAGAAGGCTGGAAGAAGACAGACTATAAGCCAAAAGTGACTTCAGGCACTGTGACAGAAAATTAGCCAGTGTTGGAACTCGACCTCAAAAAACTGTTTATTAAATGCTATCAGAGTTGCCATTTCTGTTGAACTCATGAAGATAATTCTGTCCCTTGCACATCACGAAGAACTTAATGCTCTGTTGGGTTGCTAAGTAGTAAAATCAAGCTCTGATCTACATTACACCATGGTTCATCATGATTAGCTCCACTACTAGCATGGGGTTACCCAAAAGTATGAGACGTGTTTGAGATCACAGTGAAGTCCGATGAAGGTAGTTTGTTGAGCTGATTTGTGTACATTCACCATATGCATGCTGGTGTGTTATTCACAAAATCAAGAAAGGTAGGTATGAGAGAGAAAGAAAATGCCATCCTATGTATAGTGGTTTTCTAATTGTTTTTCTCTGCTTCTTTAACAGAGTGGTCAGGCGTATTACATACATGATGGTGAAAACGTCATATTTTCTGAATGGATAGTCCCTTTAGTATGTATTGCACGCACATTTAGCTCTAATGCACTGTGTGGGCCCTAATCATATCATTAACTAAAAGACCATACTAACTAAATGAAATTCAGTGCACACTAATTACTGAATTATTTAACATTGAAGTCAGTCCTGTTCTCCCTGTATATTGCAAAGTTCCACTGGCTTTAAAGGAAGTTTTGGATATGCGTAACTGTGGAGTTTGGCCCTTACTGTTTTGAGAGAATTTAGCTGAGAGGTATAGAACCTGCTACAGAACAGCAGCATTTCTTTAAGGCAAGCTCACAGTGCACAAGAAACTCTCCTGTTAGCATCTGGCAGGTCATTTATAGCCATCGTTTATTTCTTTGTTCTGCCATCAACTGCAGCACAAAAGGGAAGGCCATTTAGAGCAGTATCTTGAAAGCTAAAAAGAGGAAACATTATATTTTCATAAACATCAGGCTGGGATTTTAGGAACATGCTCAAGTTTTGATCCTGCAATGCCAACACAGAAAAGACTTTCAGGAAAATGACTGCAGTAGAATGATGGGCCTGTATCTAAACGTAGTTAAGTATTCCAGTCTCGATCACCTGCCCCTTGGAAATAGCGTTGCTTCCCCTTTACCATCCAATTGCATGTGAGGGGTGGGAGGTGGGCACCAAAGAATGAGTAGTGGGTTTCAATTGCATTTCTTACTACCAGTATTGGTAGGAAGATTAATTGGAAAAAAGTTTAGATACAGGTTTCATCAATATTCATTTTTCATTTTTTTATGCTTCATTGACACCCTCAATTTGATACAAATGCTGTGTTATTCTTTCCTTTTATACCCCTTCTAGTTTGAAAAATTAGGCTACAGGAAACCCTGGCTACATATTCCTGTTCTTCTGGTTCACATAGCAGGTAAAAACAATAAAATACATACTTAACTATTGTGCTATTTATTTTTTTAAATTTGCTTTCTTATTCTTATAAAGCTATGCAATGGTTTTATAAAATTCAGGGACTCAAACTGTAGGAATTATATAACTTAACAGTATTCTAATTAATAATAATTGCTTCTGCCATTTGGCATTAATTATAACAGGTAAAGTTTAAAGGCTGTTCATAAACTGTACTTTATAAACACTGCCTTCCACCACCTTAATTCCATCCTCTGATATCAGTGGGAATTATGGGATGTGCAACATCAGTATTATCTCAGTTTATTGTTATCCAGCTGCCTCATGAAGTAACTTTCTCTTTCACAGCCACTGTGATGGAATATCTGCACCTGATACTAAAGCCAGTTTTTAGATTTACACCTGTCTTGACAAGGAATGAGGTAAATATATAAACATTCTCTCTTTTTATATATTTCTGACCAAAATTCTTGTGAAGTATGTGATATGCCCTTTGGATGCAGACAGGATTGTCTGCATTAGAGCTCTATTTTTCTGCTCAGGGCATAGTCCATTCAGGGTTTACACAGTCATTTTGTAGTCTGATTTTTCCATGCCACCCTGGCCACCCCTTATAAAATCATGAGAAATTAATCCTTACTTGAAGATCAGATCACAGAATCGATTTGGTTGGAAGAGACCTCTGGGATCATTGAGTCCAACCTTTGCCCTAACACCACCATGTCAAGTAGACCATGGCACTAAGTGCCACATCCAGTCTTTTCTTAAACACCTCCAGGGATGGTGACTCCACCATCTCCCTGGGCAGCCCATTCCAATGTTTAACGCCCCTTTCTGTGAAGAAAGGCCTCCTAATTTCTAGCCTGAACTTCCCCTGGCACAGTTTCAGACTATGCCCTCTTGTCCTGTCATTGGTTGCCTGGGAGAAGAGGCCAACCCCCACCTGGCTACACCCTCCTTTCAGGCAGTTACAGAGAGTGATCAGGTCTCCCCTCAGCCTCCTTTTCCCCAGGCTAAACACCCCCAGCTCCCTCAGCCGCTCCCCATCAGACTTGTGCTCCAGACCCTTCACCAGATGATCCAGAGAAACATGCTAGAGGTGCAAGACAAAGCGACTGACATGGAGCTGGCACAAAGAGGAAAATGGACACTACAGCATCATTTCCAGTGAGGTGTCCTATACTGTGGAACTACTTGTTAAAGAAAGATGGTCCCAAGAGTACAGAGCAAGAGTCTCGGGTCAAAGTGGTAGCAGTTATCATAATACTAGGCTAGCCAATAATTAGGAAGTCCACTAAAAATAATTCTAAATTGGAATGAAAAGTCAATTTTCTGGGGAAAAAAAAAAAAAAAAAGATAAAAAAAACACACCAAGAAACCCCACCAAACAAACAAAAAAAACACCCCCAAAAACTTCTGGACTAATTAATTTTATTCTAACTTATGTTTTTGTACAATATTATAATTTCTAATATAAGCCAAAATGCTTTAACTGATCTATCATCTAGTCTCTTACTGTATTGTAGCATGTAACATAATAGGACACTGAAGGGACTGAACGGACCCCATTAACTTCTGCTTTAGCTTTTCAGTTATTTCACAGTTTATCTATCTTTCTGTTTTCATACTTGTTTCTACATTAGTCCTATATCTGCAGCAGAAATCATTGAGACTATGCAACTTAAGCACTTCCATAGGTACCATGCGTTCAGAGGCAGAGGATATAACTCTCCAAAAGTGCATGTTTTCCACTCCCCAGATACACATTTCTGCAAAGTAGAGAAGCCACACCACTCTCCTCAAATACATTCATTCAGTTCCGTTGCGCATTTCTCTATACAGAAGAGCTGGTTTGAGAGAAGTGTGCTGATCTGTTGCATCTTTTTTCCTTAGTTCTTTCTCTCACATTCACAAGTGAGAAAATCAGTGTCATAAAACTCCTTCTGCACCCAGTCCACCGAGCTTTGGCTCTTTACCTGTCAGCTACACCAAATCATTCTCTTAGCTCTGGACAGAATCTGAATATATGTTTTTGCGTGTCTATCTTTATTCATGTTTTTAATTCCATTGCAATATCATTGTTGACATATTTTCATGCAAGTTCTAGAAAATCAGATATTAAAGTTACTTCCATAACTCTCCTTTTGGATTTTAGGTGTGGAACATTACTGTAACTCACACTTTCCGAATAGACAAGGCACGAAATCAACTTGGTTACAAACCAAAGAAATTCTCATTTGCTGATTCTGTGGATCATTATCTTAAAACAAGACCTACTTGCCAAGAAGATCACATGTACCTTAAAATGGTGTTTGCTTTTGGCATTTTGTTAAGTTTGACCATTCTTTCTTTCTTCTAAAATCAAATCACTACCCCCTTGTTCCAGAAAACCTGATTTTGTTTCTGAGTATTAATGATCCGGTCATAGTACATTCCTCAGTCACTATGGACTTTATTATTCTTATTGTTATGATGACACCTCTCTGATCTCGTTAAAAACAAAAAACTTCCACAAAAGTGAAAACACAGGACATGTCAGGAAATGTTCCCAAAGAACAATGCAGTGTCACAAAATTGAAAGAGTTCACTGCTAATGGATGCAGGAATAGTTTCAATGGATCTTCATTAACTGATTGCATCATGCTGAGAATGATTTTCTGAAAATTATAATTCAGGAGGTTAAGAAATTGGAAGAGGAACCATTGTAGGACTGCAGTGGTGTAACAAGTCCATTCGCTCCAATGAAGAAAAGCTTCACTAAACAATTCCCCTGATGAAGCCGCTGCTACAGCTACTGTATGTTAGTAAGAGAAATTATGAAGACCTGGGAAATAGTACAAAAAATATGGAAAGTAAATATTCATCAATAACAGGTGGTGAGAGGACTGAAAGTCATATTTGTATAAAAGTTTCATTGATCAAAAGCTTTGTAAAAATGTAATAAATAACATTACATGTGTTTGTAAATCAAATAAAATCCTTTCAGTGCAGTAGTAAATAACTGAACCGAATACTGTTTTTAAGGAGCCTGCGGGAAGGGGAAGGGAGGGCACATAAGACCTTGGAGTTCAGCAAGTGGTTACTGCTACCTTGCCTTGTAAATGAAGTCAAGTCACGCTGTCCATAATCCTGTACCAGCATTGGCACACGCCGTTTGATCAGCGAACTGCCATTTCAGGGTGAGCAGGCAAGCCAAGCGCTGAGACCCCAGTGAGGATCCAACCTCTCGCTTCTCCTCCTTCTTAAGACTTATGTTAGCTGCTTCTTGGGTGGATTGTACGACATGAGCTACATGTGTACTACATGTACACGTGAGGTGTAGCCCAGATAAATCTTCATGAGGTTACCTGCTGCAAGGATTTTCTCAGAGACCAGCTTTGCTCTGGCCAGGGAGCAGCTGCTCCCTCTCTTGCACCCCACGTGGATCAGGAGAGCTGGGCTTGCCAGGGTGGGTCACAGAAGGAGTGACGGAAAAGCTCTGCCATTCTGATTATCTCCACTCTGTATATATTTTGCATTTGTGTTAGCATTTTACAAGATTTTTAAGACCAGAAATTTTATGGAGACTCTCTCATTGTGTCTTTAAATTTACAGGGTACACAGGAGAGCTAACAGCAACCCTACAAGAATAAAATGTTACAGGTAGAAGACAATACGCAGTGACAGGAAAATGTGTGAGCAACCACAATTACTGCTGCAGCTTATGTGAGCAAAGATTTGTTTTGTTCTATTTTTTTTTCTTTTCTTCTTAAACAAATAGCTCTGTGTGCAGTGAAAGCAGTAAAGCCTGATCTCTTATGGATTTGCATTTGGAGATTGTCCTTGTCCATACAAACTAGGCTCACACTGTACATCTTCCCTCAGCAGGGGCACTGCTCAGCCCTCGCTCTTCTTCCAGACTACCTACTTTCAGGAAACTTAAACAAAAAACTCAGTATATATGAGACCTTTATCCAAGTTTGAGTAAAACCAGTTAAATTCACAGTTTATCAGTATAGACGTGCAGCTGACTGACAAGACAAGCAAGCACTGCAGGAGGTACTGTGTAAACCTTTTTTCCCTAGAAATGCAGAATAGGAAATCATAAGGGTAAAGTTACTTCCCAGCACGAGCATTTTAACTGAATACAAACATTCAATTAGCTTTTAAATTAGTTATTTACGAATCTTTCGTATATTGCTTTTATCAGTCTAATAGCTCAGGACTGCATCCCGGATTACACTGACACTTTTCAGAAGAGACACCAGGCAGTTGACTGCAGCCCAGTGAGAAGTGCAGACTGTGGCCTTTTTTTGGGTGCTCCTCAGTTAGGACTAACTGAGGAATTCTCTGACTTTGTGGTTGCAAGTCCCCGCGGAGTCCCACCATTCCAGTCCTGTAATGCCAAACCTCCAATTTGTCATTTTAGGTAAGGTGCTTTTTACATCACTGTTATAATAGTACTGATTATTACTAACTGGCTTCATTCAATTGATTTACCATTATTACAAATCCAATATTTGAAGTTCTAAGACAACTTACAGTATCAGTTTGGTATAGCCAGCTGTCTCATTTCTGTCAGTCTTTACTGAGTCTTAGTTTAAGCTGCCTATTGTTTGAGTTACTTATGCTCTAACATAATTGCAAGTCTGTCTTTAAATGATTAAAATTTAATGTGAACATTCAGATGTGCCACAGGTATAACAGAAGAGGTAAACATGTGCAAAGTTTAATTTTACCTGGGATGAGTAACTCAAATTCTGCAGTTCCTGAGCCTTTTCATATTCTCCCAGGCACGAGTGACCACAGAGCTGAACAGAGACCCGCTGCCGGCTCAGGAGGGCCTATTTGTTTATGACTATTTTTTCTCTTTGGAGTTTCCCGCTGATTTGCAGGTGTTTCTGATGCTCTGCATCTCTCTGAGCCGTGTCCCACCACAGACTATCCAACCGGTAATCAAGGCATGGTGTGTTTTTCCTGAACAACAGCAGGTATCTCAGTGTGGACAGAGCCCTAGCTACTGACAGGATGCTCTCCTGCAGTGGTCGCGGCTGTATGAAGACTCTTGGAGGTAAGAGCTGCTATAGGATGCTGTGGAATCCCAGGGATGCTCTGGGAACCTGGGAATGCTGTGGGATGAGTAGAATCCCCGGAAGGTTGTGGGATCCAATAGATACTGCAAGATGAGTGGGATGCAGGGGTACTGTGGGACCCCAGGGGGGGATGTGGAATGAGCAGGACCGCAGGGGTTGCTGTGGGACCCCAGGGGCGGCTGTGGGACCCCAGGGGGGGATGTGGAATGAGCAGGACCGCAGGGGTTGCTGTGGGACCCCAGGGGCGGCTGTGGGA